CAAACGTTACAAATCATTTTTGGCGCTGTTAGAAATTTTTAATCGGCAACAGGGGTTGTTTATTGACCGTAAGAGTGCCTTCCGAAACATCAATCCAATCGGCCTTTTTTTCACAAGCTCTCGGCACTAATCTACAGTGATTCTAACAGTCTCATGCTCACGTAAAAAGTTGGAAAAACTAGAGTCCTAGATTATCAGAGAAGCGCAACCAATGTTACGAGTCCTGATTGGACTCGCAAATGGCCAATCATAAGATTGATTTATCGTTATTATAAATGGTTACCGAATAAATCAATCTTATGATTGGCCATTCGACGCCATTTTTAGTACTTTTGCGTTACTGCCATAACCCGGTTGCGCTTCTCTAATAATCTTGGTCTCAACCGCGGAGAAATGTTTAAGAATTAAATATAGTAAAGGGGCTTAAGGCCTGACTTTATTTAAACAAACAGAACCGGCAAGAGAAATGTTTAACAATTAAATAGAGTACTTTGGCTGGATCTTCATACAGACACCGGCTCTTTGACACCGAATGCTGATTCACGGAAAACGATTATTGGGGGGGTAAATAGCAATAGAATTCTTTACTATTTACTCCCACTAATCGGTTTCCGGTCAATCAGCGTTAAGTGTCAAAGCGCCGGTAGCTACATGAGGATTCAGTCGTAGGTACCAAGTACTGCAAGTGTAGCACTTGTTGCTAAGTGTAATTTCTGATTGGTTTTCTGCCTTTCCGCATTCCGCATTTCCTCTCCAATGTGAATCCTCCCTTATAACTGAGTGATTTAACGTCTATGACTTTCTGAGTAGTTTTGGAACGCAGCTCTGGCATAAAAGTTTTTATATTATTATTCGACCATATACGAATACGAATGGATACGATAGAGTGTAGTGTTTGATAATAATTAGTAATTGATAATTTTTTTTTCTTTTGCTCACTCGCTGTAAGAGCTTTTAGAGTCACGATGTCCGATGAGTCCGAATATGATGTAGAGCCGGAAGAATTTGATATTTATAAGAAAAAATACCAGTTGCTATTGGACAGATGTGAAATTTTACAACAGGTTAAGTCTCTCCCTTCTGAAACGAAATCATTATCGATGATTTCTTTTTTTTCGAAACTATATAGTATGTTTTAAATGATAGGAAAATGAAAGGTTGGTCTACAGAATTCAGAGAATAAGGAAGCTTCTTCGACGCACAAGAAAAGAGAAAAGGTTAGTTTTGTAGGTTAAGTTGTTCGATTTAAAATTTCTTCATATTTTCATTGTCTATGATATTGATTCGTAGATTCTTGATCGATCGATTGGATCGACATGGAGATCGTTGGCGAGAAACCCCAATGGGTGTATTCGAAGAGAACAGTGTGTTTCAAACAACTCCAAAGTCAGAGAAAGGAGGGAAAGGTACCTCGCATAGTGTTAAAGAGGAGAAGCCCAGAAAAGGGACAAAGAGAAAGGGCACAAAAGCTGATCCGAATGCACCAAAGAGACCAGCTAATCCTTTCTTCCAATTTTGTCAAGAACAAAGACCTCGTGTGATGGAACGTTTAGCAGGAGAACCAGAGCCTAGTAAGCAAGAACTTACTAGACAACTTGCAACCACTTGGAAATCTCTAAGTTCTGAAGATAAAAAAGTAAGAGCCATCGTTATGTGTAGCAAAAATATTGAATTGTAGTATTTATATGTTCTGACTTGCCTTATAACTTGTTTACATTGGATAAATGTTATATTATTTCAGGTATATTATGACATGTATGAAAGATCCAAGGAGAAATATGTCGCCGAGATGCAGATATATAATAAGAAGACTGAAGATGCGCCATGTCAAATGCCATTAAATATAACATAATATTTAGCATAATGGATATTTGTAGAAAGTTGATAACTTGTGATCACACCTTTGTATAAGAATGGTACAGTAATAAGGTGAAGAACTTGAAAGATATATTTATAAATAGTAATTTCTGTATTAGCTCTTGATTCACAAGTGCTTCTTTCGATACGAGGCGCGAGCAAATACAATCGATTGACATTGGTGGATATAAGATCAAGAAACCAAGAAATTTTTATGCAGAGAATTACGCAATATTGTGAAGATAGGAAACTGATTGGTGATAATTATTCAGAAATTTAGGCAATTGAATGAATAAGAGCTAAAGAGGGAAGGCTTATATCATTATTTTGTTGTGTGTATGTGTGTATACATACATACATACATACATACACACACACACACACACACACAAGATATCATAATACTCAGTGCACACAAGCATGATAAAGTTTCAATTATCGTATTACCATCATCTTATATCTTTTACATTTCAAATTTATGTTAACAATTGCAATGTAAAAAGGAAATATAAAAAAGAAATTGTCTTGTCGAAAGAATTAAGCTTTAAAGTTGTCCTTTTCGCGCCTCAAGTACGACATCGTTTGAACGGGATCATTTTGTTGTGCATGTTTCATAACGGATGGTTCATGCACTCTCATAAACGGATTTGTCAGCTTTTCGTCTGTAATGGTGCTAGGCACTGTTGGAAGATTATTGGCACGTTGAGTATGCACCCGATCCAATTTTTCTTGTATCGCCACATTCTCAGGTTCCACATGTAAACCAAACTTAAGGTTATTGGCTGTATACTCGTGTCCACAATACACCTTCTGTAAGGTAAGGTGAGGTATAAAAAATTCGTTTGAAAAATGATAAATTACAGTTTGAGAGTAACACTTACCGTCTCTTCGGGTAAAGAGCCTAAAATTTCGACGAGTGCCTTGTACATTTGATCTGCAGTACCCTCAAAAAATCGTCCACAGCCTCCAGCGAAGAGTGTGTCTCCTTTTAAGCGGATTAAACATCTACTTATTACATTTGTTAACTAGTTATATAGTCTGTTTATTATCTACATCTAGCTTTACCTGTGAACACAGATGGTGGATGTTCTCCTCCTCCTGTAACATAGTAACAAATGTGCCCACGCGTATGGCAAGGCGTTGCGAGACACTTGACTGATAAGTTGCCAATATTGAATGTGGCGTTGTGCGTAATTTTACGATTAATGGCTTCTATTCTATCATCTCCGCCATATATCGCAAGATCAGCAAAAATTTTCGATAATTTAGCGTTTCCTCCAGCATGATCCCAATGATGATGTGTAGTTAAAACCTTTGTTAATTTGACATTATTTTGTTGGACGGCTGCAGTTACGGCTTCTGGATCGACAGGATCTACAACAGCAGCCTCCTGTGTTGCTTCATCGATAATCTAACAAAAAAAATTATGCAATGTTAAAAGAGAATAAAAAATTCTTTTGTAGACACATTTATGTTTTGTCATAATATTTATTGCATGACATTTTATCATGTCAAGTGAATATAGAGATTATATTTATCTTACTGGTGTAAAATACAGAAAGTAATGTATAAAGACTATATATTTCTCTATATATTATTCCTGACCTTGGACAATTTTGTACAAATGTTGGAAGATATAAACAGTAGCGCATACCAAATACATGTAATTATCTTGAAGTGCTGGTAATATTTGTACTTTCATGTTGAAATGATCCACTGTTACGTTTTGGCTGTGCGATCTGCCGTTGAAAGAAACACTCTTTGCTGAAACATTGAAAAGTACAAATTTATGTTTAAATTATGTAATTTACATGGTATAAAAGTATATCCTTTCATACAATCCTTTCGAATGATGCGAACATGAGTTGATACATATTCTATTAATCGCAAATATAAAAAAATTAATGAATTAATAAGATGAAGAATAAAAGAAATGGTAAAAATAAACTGAAAAACAATGATTTAATGCAAGATGAAATTACTGATAAATACATATGTGTACTGATAACGACAATCATGCAGCGCTGTACCTACGATAACTACGATCAGTAACAACTAACAGTGCAAACGCAAATGAACAAATACATAAACATACCCCTAAAATACATAGACGTGAGTTTATTTTCAAGCCATGTTGGACATGCACGTAGTGCAACTTGACGAAACATGATGACAAAGGCTTAAGAAGAAATTCATGCAGTGTTTTATTTATATTTTGTCGCTCTCCACTACTTGCCTGATAATATACTAACGAGCTGTATTGCGTTGGTAGACGAAAAAAATAAAAGCTATAGACGATGATCAAAGATCGAGCAGCAGCTGTAGATTATTTGTACGTACACTCGCTCACTAAAAGGTTGCGACACTTTTTTTTTATAGGTTTCTAATTTATATTTAATATACATAATATATACTTTATAGATAACTAATATTTTGCA